TTTCGGAAAATCTGCTGCTGCGTCAACTGCTCCAATTTGTGAGTGTACTCTTGAGCCAGAATCTATGGAACAAGCATGGATTGTTGCAAGCAATGCAAGGTGTTGGTACCTCTGTGGACAGGTTGCAAGCAGAGTACGCTGAGGGTCAGGCCCAGAATCATATTCTCGTAGGTGCGTAGTCCTGAGATACAGGATGGAGCAAAGACCCTTTGCGCACTATCATGTCTGGAAGGTTGCTCTTGCGCGTATACTCCTCAATGCTCAGCTACCACAGCCTTACAACATGTTTCCTAGCTCCGTGTTAAGCTGTGCAGTGACTTCCTGCACCGCAAGTCAAGCTCTACACGCCATGCTCAACAGATGCAAAACGCACAGTTTCTGCGATACTCCATCTTCCACCGCGTGTATTCAGTGTTGCGACCACCACAGCGTTGGATTCCTAGCCGTACATATTCAGCTACGTCATGCCTTTTCACACGTCACAGAGTACATGTTCTGCAGATTTCGTGGCAGGCGCAGCACTTTGGACATGGTTGGTGGTCTTCGAGGCGCTCTGATTTCGTGACGGGTGCAGTGAACCGTAGCTTTGTTTCGTGGCAGGCGAAGCACTCTGTGAACCTCAAAGTGTACATTTCGTGGCAAGTGCAACACTTTGTATTGGTCCAGATTTCGCAGCAGGTGCAATTATGTTGTGTTTACCATTGTTTACCAGAGGTTTGGAAATAAACAAAACTCTAACTATTTTAAATAGTTTAGTTATTTTGGGTTTACCGGAGGTTTGGAAATAATTAAGAATTGAATTATTTTTCTTTATTTTAGGTTTCCCGGAGGTTTTGAAATATTTAAATTTCTAATTATGTTAACTCTTTTAATTACTAATCTTAATTCTTGTAACTACTAATTTCTAATGGTTTTAAGTAATTTAACTATTTTGAATAGTTTTACTTATGTTGGGTTTCCCGGAGGTTCGGGAACAATTAAATTTTTAGCTATTTTAAGTATTTGAGTTATTTTGAGCTATTCTATTTATTTTTAATCTATTGTAATCATTTTAAATATTTTTCCCGGAGGTTCGGAAACAATTAAGATTTTAACTATTTTACTTTAATTATGTTTAATTTTTATTGTTATGTGTATTTATTTTCCCGGAGGTTTGGAAATAATTAAAATTCTAATTATTTTAATTAT